CTCGAAGCGGAGCACAAGATAAGACTGAAAGAGAATGAGAAAATGGTAAAGTGCAATATATGTACATATTGTGCATATATGCAGAATTCCAAAAGGTATGAAACGCGAGAATGAAGGTAGTGCCAATAATCATTGTAACTCTGGTAACATTCTAAAACACAAAGAGCACAAACCAAAAAGTAAGAATCGAATGAATGCTAAAAATACTGGATGGCCGTCCAAGCGGACAATGTTAAAACTGAAGAAGGAAAAATATCAAAACATTGCACGATAAATGCAGTTGTTGTAGAGCATGAAAATTAATGTAGTGCCGGTAAATATAAGACAACTCGGAATGGTTCTCCAAACACTTGCAAACTTATCTTTGTTAATTATTAATTTGGTTTGCTTTGGTTTATTTTATTTTACGGCATATCAACCTCAATGAGTTATTTAATGTCGACAGGATTTTTATTACTAGTAATATTTTTTTTTCAAAAACGTATTCCTGTTAATATAGTTTTTTTTTGCCCAAAAATGTATTGCTGGTAATAATTTTTTCTTCAAAATTTCATTGCTAGTAATATTTTTACAAAATGTATTACTGGTATTAAAGCCTATTTTTACACTTTCACAGGGCTTTGACCCCAGTTTGGGAGTTAAATATTTACCCATAGCTGGGACCATAATAGGTGCTACAACCTCGGGTCAGGGTGGACCTGGGAACACCAGCAATTAAGAGGTGATTCCACGCTCCTCAAAATCTCCTGATCAGAGGCTTTGCTGTTGGAAGTAGTTTATCATCTTACCCAGGACGCCGGATGTAGTCGACTCTGCAAATTAAATTAATAATTCATCCTGGGTATGACACCCAGGACGAATTATTAATTTAATTTGCAGTTCATTTGGAGATGTCAAAATCAAACAAATACAGAAGTTGAAATATCAGGGGAGAGTATTTTAACAGAGATTGGAAAATCCGACACCAAAAACCGAACGTGAATTGGAATAGCAAGAAAAGACATTCCAAAAGCTAAGCAAAATATTAAGAAACAGTAAAATTTCGTTAGAAAAAAGAAAAGAGTGCTGAACTGTTATTTAATATCAATTTTCCTACATGGCAGTGAATTCTGGACAACCACAAAGATGAAGAAATGACTTGAAGTAATAGAAATGTGGCCCTACAGAAGGATGCTGAAAATACTATGGACAGATCGCGTAAACAACGAAGAAGTCTTCAGAAAAATGGAAAGAAAAAGGACACATATTCAGAATCAGAAAAAAGAAAACTGAAATTTTTTGAACCACAGGAGGAAGGCGGGCTTGGAGAATTCGACACTCCCAGGAAATCGAAGACAAAACAGTAAGGGGAAAGCAACGAGATACTTATCTAATGAGCCTGGAGGAATGGACAACAGGGCAGGGTGTAGGAAGCGTGATAAAAAGACAAAATTTACTCAGAGCCACAAGGAATAGGAAGTTGTGGAGAGCCATTGTTGCCCACATACTGAACGGATACGGCACATAAAAAGAATACAATAGATAATATTACACACACGCACACACGTGTGCGGGTGATTGTGCATGTGTACTTGTATGTGTGTGAGTTATTAAGGAAATAATGTCGTAGTTAAAATTTACAAACTTGGAACTAAAAAGATTAAGCTGAGCCTCTGTTCTGTCAAGCTGTGTATCATTTAGTTCAATGCAGCGTTTAATTCCTTGGGGCGCCAGATTTTAACGAGTGGAATGTTTACTTATACATAATGTATGAATTCCACAACGACAGTAATACTGATGATTTAGTGGGTTTTAAAAAAAGTGAGACTTTTCAAAGTGTTGCTAATTAAAATAAGAATCTCCCGATTTACTGGGTGGTTCATGTCGTTCCTTCAAAACATATTAAATATTAAATTGTTGAGGTATAATTGTGGTATTTTGAGATAGGAAATTAAAATTCGTTCTTAAGTAACAAGATTTAAGTTTATTCACACACAAGCTTAACCATTCCCCATTTTTGCTAAATTCTTTCAAGACGTAAGCGATCATGGGTCTCCACAACTTCCTGACTTTTATTGCACTAAGTAACTTTGCCTTTGTTCTGCATCCATTAACACAAAAATCGTTAAATAGATTACTCACTATTTTACAATACTTCTTTTGTCTTCGTTAGGTGTGAAATCGTTTTTAACAATGGCAACTAACAACTGTGAATCAATTTGTTTCTTCTTTGTTGGACAAATCTGGAATTTTGTACGAAAATCCCATGTTAATATCTAACCCAAAGTTCTACTTCTTTAAGGTCTTGACGAGCAGTCGGTGGGAGGTGTTGTTTATGCGAAACTTCTAGAATATGGTAATATATTCACTTATCAAGAGCAAGTGAATAGTGAAGATTTACGTTAAAATGCACTGATTTAATCAAGAGAAGTTGGGACATTGTTGAGAATCTTAAATGCGAATCCACACTCAAGTTCAAATCAAATTTAAGGCAAAATTAAATCGTAAAACATTCCTATTCGCTGGATTTCACACTTTTAATTCTATTATTTTTCAGAACATTGGAACACATTTACTCAGGAAAAACGTTTAAAAGTGAGGAAATTAGCTTTTCACTATTATGAAAAATCCGTTCACCCAGAATCCAAGATTCTTTTAAAAAAGAATAAAGAATTTAGTTTCATAAGGAAATTTTCTCTTTAGTTATAATTACGATTATGACTACACTTATGACTGTCATTATGATTATGACTACACTTATAACTGCACTTATGACTACCATTACGATTATGACTACACTTATGACAGTCATTACGATTATGACTAAATTTATGACTACACTTATGACTACCATTACGATTATGACTAGACTTATGACAATACTTATGACTATCATTATGATTATGACTACACTTATGACTCTCAATAAGACCATGCTTTTGGAAAAACTAAACTTTTTTTCAAATATGCAGTTTTTTTTTTTTACTTCCAAATTATTTTTAATGGGTTCAATTTTCTCTAGGTGATCCACTATTTTTGACCCTATGCCAGACTCATCTAAAATAGATGTCAGGGTAGGCCTTATCAATTTTTTATTTAGTTTTATGACTACATATATACTGACGCATTTTGGCGATAGAGGGAAAACGGGATGATAAACTCAGTCGTATTTCAGTCGACTATATTTGAAGGTGGGATTCAATTTTCTTATTTATGCCCGCAGACTTTTCCAGGAATTCCTTCATTAACTTTGATTATTTTCTGCACTCACAAAACTATTTTAACAAATACGCAAAAACATTCTGCTTAAACAATGAATTTTACATCTTTGACTTAAAATTTGTTTGTATAATTTCGACATCTTGTGTCGCATGAGAAAAGGTATTGTCACTGATGATGAATTAATGAAAGCGTTACTGACAGAAGAAATACTGGCAGTATCTGTGTTTTACAAATTAATTGTTAACTATTTTCAGTAGAAATATATATTGTAAATGATTTTCACTAGAAATGCATTAAAACCAATAAGAAAGGGATTGTCAGTGGTCAGAAATTAAGGCAAGTGTACTGGCAGGATTCGGTTATTAGATATACAGTTAGTCTGGCTCTTGTAAAAATTGTCATTGTAGGATTATTAATCTAATGTGGAAAATGGGATAAATCACTAATCCCTCATAATAGTAGGAGCTCTTTGTTTTTCAGAATTATTACTCGCAATTTTAGCATTTATAACACGTTTAGTTTAATATTTGCATAGACAATACAAGTTCTTAAAAATCAACAGTTTTTATGCTTTTAGTAATCTTTTTGTGTTCGCTGTAAAACAGTAAGCAAATAAATACCGGAAATAAAGTCAATTTCCCATCATATTGACCGGATATTGATCAGTGTTTATATAAACTTTCATAATTTGGTATAAAGTCCTAAGAGACACGCAGTGAGGATCGAACTCATACGGTAGTAATGGTCCAACACAGTAACCATTGCTCTACAGAGAGATGATCATCGGAAAATGATAAACATTAACCAGCATATAAAACTCTTGGTTAACTAAATTCAAAGGAAATTTCCCATGTCAATATAAATGGATTAAAAGCTTCAATATTTTTACTTGATTGTTTCTCCTATGTATTTTTTTTTCGATCTCGTATCCGAAAAGACTGAATTAGTCAGTGCAGACGAGGAAAAATATCGAACAGCTACAGCGGACATGTTTTTCCTCAATAAGATTCATCAAGTTACGTGACCTTGAGGTATGGACGCCACTCCCTTACCACTTTAAATATACTCATAATGAAAAGAAGATAATGATATTATTACTTAATGTCCATATTGAAAGGAAATTGCAATCTTTTTTCTTTCTTTTTGTTATTAGTTTGTAATATAATTTAATGGCCGCATAAAAAAAGAAGCCTCTACACAGAATTCAACTCTGGTTCGCCTTTTCTGTTTTCCAGGTTGATAATATCTTTACATAAGCGTATAGATGCTCAAATTTGTGCATACTCATTTACAAAAATATCACTTAAGAAAAGTTAGGCGCATAACTATATTTTCTGGGGTTTATGTTAAATTTGTAATAGAAGACTTGTAGCAATTTTCTGTCTGAATTTCTCTGATGACTAGTCATGATCATTTGCATTATTTGCAGTAAAGTAAATCTTTGTTGTTATTATCACTACGTTTCGGCCATTGTGACTTCCGGCCTTCTTCAGGGGTCTGTCGATCTGTGTAACCTTCAGGAAATTTCTAAATGAACCTTTTTTTTAATCTATGGCGGAAGGGCGCATATTTTTGGTTTGATTTTTTTGCGGGTAAATATTTTACGAACAGATTTTTGGAAATTATAATGATTTTTCACGATAAGATTCCGACTATTTAACCAATAGCTGGGAGGAGAAGTGATGGATTCTTATATCTTCCAAGGGTATTTGCGTGTAAGTGAATGTAACGAACCTGACTGGAATTCTCCGACATCCTATTCCGAGTCATTGCTCATAACACCACCCGCACACCAACGTTTACAGCACCTGGAATATCCAGGCGGTCGCCCATTTAGGTACTGAACAGGCTCGATGTTGCTTAACTTCAGTGATCGGACAAGAACGTGATATGGATGTACGCCATAGATCGCATTGAGGCGTGAAACTGATAATTTCGATGCGATGTTGATCTCCTCGTCCACAAACAAATTCTGTTATATATATATATATATATATATATATATATATATATATATATATATAAAAAGTGAACATTGAAGATAACACTTAGAGACGACAGTCCAGTCTGTTTCATGCTAGACGCAATCGTCAGGCCATGAAACAGACTGTCGCCCTAAGTGTTGACTTCAATGTTCACTTTTATATTTACACACGCTCTATCTCTGATATTTAGCACTTTATCCCATAAATATAGCACATCTTAAGACTATATATCTTCATATATATATATATATATATATATATCAAGCGTGTATTTAAAGAGATTTGTTTACAAATTTTCAAGATGATGGTGTACTTTCGACATTCATTTGTCCTTATCAAGAATAGAATAAGATAGTTTTAAAATTCAAGAACATATTTTTTTATTATGGCTTTTAGTGGTCAAACATCAAAAATTTAAGTCGTTCCAAAAAAACACACACACACACACACACACACACACATATATATATATATATATATATATATATATATATATATATAGTCACTTGATGCATATAGTGTGTATATATATATATATATATATATATATATATACATATGGATATATAGTTATATGTATATATATATATATATATATATATATATATATATATATATATATATAAATTGTTAACGGAAAATGTTTTTATTTAAAATCTGGTCTTTATTTGCATGCGCCACACTGCAGTTGTGGTCCTTGTATTTTTTTGGTAAAACATCACAAACAAATATTTAAAGAAAAAAGCACGACCATATTCAAACCGATCACCAACTATAATTCAACAATTCTCAATTAATCAGTCATCAATTACATCTTATATTCAAATATAAATAAGGTCAAATCTTATATTTGTCACATTTTTTTGCATGGTCAACTTTTCTTTCTTACCAGTCTTATTCACATCTTACTCACAGTTTTCCTCTTCACTGGACGATGGCGGTTTGTTTTTTCATCGAGAAAAGATTAAAGAAAGAAGATGAAAAAGAAGAAGCAGAAGAAAGCATATTTCATGAGTAAATGAATAAAATATTAAGGCAATAAAAGAACATATATATAAAAAAAAGTAGGCGAGAAAAAATACGAAAGAACTAAAACAGAAAATAAGCAAAATCAGCAACAGCAAAATGAACACGACGCCGATGTGGATGAGGAAGAAACAAAAAGTAGACAAAACTAGTTTAATAAAAAGTAACGCATTTCAGGGAAAGACGATTTCTTGTTCGTTTCCCGGAAGTGTCCGTCGACGTTTCCGGTTTCAGTAATTGTCGGAGTGGGGATGTGTGAGGCGATCGTTTTTGGTCTGAAAAATATTTGGAGGGATGTCATTTTGAGGGAGAAATAAAGGAAAATAATGAAATAAATTAAGAGATAAAATAAAGCAGGAAATGAATTCGGGAAGAGAAAAAAGAAATGAAAAAGGAAATGAGGAAAAACGATAAGGATTAAGAAAGAAAGAAAGAAATAGATTTCAACATTAACAGAAAGATGACGAAGAAAGAAAAAAAAAACGAAACAAAGATATAAAACGTAAAAAAAGTATTGAATGTAAAAACTCTTGAAAAGGCAAATCAAAATCATATGATAATTCGCACCAAAATGATCGGTTCTTGCCTGACCAGTAAGGTTAAGTAGCATCGTTAACTGGTCAGTACAAACTTCCGATACTGTCATATGAATAGCTTCCCTACTTTTAACAAAGAAGAAAGCCATCCAGTAAGTTGAATTGATGAACATTTAATAAGAAAGGATAGCGAGAAATGAATATATTTTACTGAATGTAGGACTGTATTGTCATTCAGGAAGAATTTCGCACTTTCTGAGTTCCAGATTCTTTTGACGATTCATTCACGAAATTGTTTTACGCCTGGTCATTATGTTCTTCACAAATAAGTTAAACTTTTATTACATATGAAGATTTTTTTGTTAATTCTATGTCCTTTCAGGACGTAGGCGATCATGACTATCCACATATTTTTTTTTATTATCTGTGAATTACGACGATATCTTTGGTAAGATAAGTGGTGTAGTTTCTGGTTGCCTTCATCGCGGCTTTTCATTTACAGTCAGTCTCCTAGAATGATTACTTCTCAAGACTAGAGAGGCCAGTCTACTCTGCAATTTAACCTCTAGTTTGGGCAATTTCTCGATAGTTTTCAAGGAGGTATTTCTCTCAGATGGTAATGTTATGTCAATAAGCATACAATTTCTGAATTTCTTGTGTTAATATCAGGTCTGTTGGCTTTTATTTCCTTATTATTATTATTATTGTTGTTGTTGTTATTTACTCACCTTATTGGCTCCACTTTAAATTGAAGCCTTCTTTTTTCCATATATATGAACTATAATTTTGGAAAATGAGAATTTCATAGAAATATGTCGGAGACTTTCCAAGAAAGTAGAAATTTAAACAAAATGGTAACATATGGCAAAAATGAGTCATCAGTGTAGAATGGCACCAAAATTACATAAGTCGAAGAAAAATGATTTTCTTCCAAAACTCATCAATTTTACACTCAAAATTAACTGTTTCGTTTTACAGATGTTTATAAGTGATTGTGGATAAACTGAATAGCATAGCGGATATCGCCGAGTAAAAAATAAAATCAGTAAACCGGGTTCGAATTCCGTTTGAAGTTGTTCATGTTCACTCAGTAGATATGACTTTAAAGATCAGAATCTAGGCCCTTAACCTTTGTCTCGTTACTAAATATCTTGACGTAAAGGTCTTGCCTCTGGTTTTGTTTCGAGGGTTGATCGAGAAGTGAATGGAGGATTGAAACAACTGGAAAACAACACACACATAATTTCTCCTAAGACAGGAATTAATGTGAAATCAACCTTGAAAGCGAATAGTGCGCATGCCTAAGACTTCTTCGGCCTTTCATTACTAAATTTGAAAAATAAACCAATGATTAAACCTGTCCACTGTGGGTGGATATCCTTTCATAACGTATTCTCGGTAAACACATGACTTCATAAATCTAGAGATGTCACCCGAATTTCAGAAATTGATGCCTGACACCCACGCTTATGCCACATTCGGACTGCGATAATTAGAATCGATTTACTTTGAGCATTGTATCCAGTGTTCACATAGGGTCGAGTATGCAATGTGATTGCTCCTGATCTGGTATCTCGTTTACAGTCGCTCTGTCACAGATGTGCCGACGCCACCTTCTGTCTTATTGACAAATACTTTCATGGTAACTGCTACGACGAGTTACTTTCGCTAGTTCCCATGAATTAAAACGTGAATATATGCTGGCATCTCAGTCCCACCTTTTCACTGTCGAAACAGTTAAATGTAGCCGTCTCTTCTACTCCAACAGCTTCATGTCTCGCACTTCCCGTCTGTGGAATTCCCTTCCTCTTACTTGCTTCCCTGAAAGCTATAATCTCCAACTATTCAAATGCAATGTCAATCGGCATCTCCAGGTGCCTTGATCTATTCCCCGTCATTCTCTTCATCCTTTCCTCTTTCACCCCCCTCTTTACTCCTGCTCCCATACTCTGTTGCCCCTTGCGTGCTAGTAGTACTCCCGCCTTGCTTGGGGTGAAAAGCTTAAAAAAAAAGATGTTAGAGAACTGATAGTGGTCTGGTCATTTCTATGACATCAGGTTTGCGTGGGTCCACCTATATATTATGGCTTTTGGCATGTCAGTGTAAGTCAATAAGAATAATCCGTTAAAGGTATGGTTTTATATGCATTTTTATCCTGATTTTTTGCATGTTTGGTCATAAATCTTTTTTAAATACTCATTTCTGAGACACCACCTTAAATGTCCAGAAACGTTTAATAAGAATATGAAAATAACGACTGCACTTTATAAAAAACATTGCAATGTCTCTTGTGTTAATAATCTTGTTGTTTACATTTAACGAAAAGCGAAACTTAATAATTGTTGTCCTAAATTCCAAGTGAAGTTTACATACAATTTATAGCTCAGCACAATAACTTTGTTGATGTTTTCGTAGAATGTAAAACCAGTAGGTGGGCAGATAAGAGCGTCATTTTATGAATTCTAGATTTTATCTATAAAAAATAGACAAAAAAAAAATATGATAGAGCCTCCAATTTAAACAAGGTCAACTGGGATGACAGCAGTGGCCATAAAACAATCTATGAATTAGGTCATAAGCAACCATTACAACAGGGTATTAACTGAATATAGAAATAGCGAAATAACAGACAGATGATACATTATACAAAGGATCAGTGGCTAAAAGCTAAAGACTGGCGTAATAATCGAAAACCGGTTTCCGTATCATAGGTTTAAAAAACAAGTTATCTTTTTTTGCATTGAATTTATTATTATTATCATTATTATTATTATTATTATTATTATTATTATCATTATTATTATTATTATTATTATTATTTTATTTCCTTTGATTTCTGGTGTGTACTCATTTCTTTCCGGGTTGCGAATAGAGACCTAAGGTCAGAAATGGCGTCATGACATTTTCTACTGAGTAGTTTTGAAAAGAAAAATCGCACATATTTTACATAGATAAAAACATTCCTAAGGTGTGAGCTGTACTTGTGAGTACAATTCTTTTGTATTTCTTTAAGGCATGGGCTACCAGGGCTTCCTTCAATGAGCCTATCGGAATCTTTTCCAATCAATCCGAGGACTCCAACTACAACTGGAATTGTTACTATCCCCATGCGCCACATTTTTGAGATTTCCATTTCAAGTTACTTGTATTTTGATAGTTTTTTTTAAAGATCTTCAAAAATACATTGCAGTCTGCCATGACTGCCATGTCAATCAGGAGACACATTTTGTTTTTGCAGTCTCTAATCTCGATGTCAGGGCGATTAGCTTTGATTGTTCCGTCTGTGTGTATTGTGAATTCCCACAAAACTGTTACAGGTTCGATCTCCGTAACCGGGTTTGGATGTTGTTCAGACCAATTTCTTGCAGTTGCCTTATTATCATTATTGTTGTTATTATTCTCCGAAAAAAAAATGTATTTGATCGTTATAATTATAAGTCAATCAACCGACCAAAGTGGAATCAATGCCGAATGCTAGAAAACTGAATCTAGAAATGATTTATCAGTTTTTTTCTATCCGACTGTGTGCTGTTTATGGTGCATTTCAGATTGTAATTGGGCAAACTTGCAAAGAGAGAACTTCTGCATTTTATCCAGCAAACAAAACTTTCATTTTTGCATCACATTTTTACAGGTGGTGAAAATGGGTTTTGCATGTCAACATAGAATGAAAAAGACATTGGTTAACACAAAATGAGAAACCAGTGCCAACATCAGAATCAGAACTCCACTCTCAGAAGTCACTGTTTTGTGACGTGAAATATAAAAGTTGTCGTTCATTACGAACTTCTGGATCTTGGAGGGATCACCAATGAACATGTTTATAGCTAAAAACGTGATTGGGATAATGAAGTATTATGTCGAAAATGTTCTGATTTGGTAAACAGAAAAATTGTTATTCTACAGTATAAGAATACAAAGGTAGAATATACAAAACAAACTCAAGAATAAATAAAATCGTTAGGATAAGAGTTTTTTCCACATCTATCATACTCACCGGGTTTTAGCATCAAGAGACTTGCGTTTGTTCCGATTAAGTGAACATTTCATTAGTGGTAGAATATAAAAACAAAAAATTGAATTAAATTTGGAATAATTTTTCCCCTTTCTGTTGGGCTGCAGTCGTTAAAAAAATGAAGGTGATCACACTTTTCATAAATTATATTTAAATAAATTTAACTTAAATTTGTTTGTATAGCCTTTCTGATAAAACGTAATTACTTTCTGAACGCCCTATTATTATTATTATTATTATTATTATTATTAAAGAAAACTAATTTTCTTCTTCGAAATTTGAGATAGATTACACTAATTGTCGGCTATATTTGTTTTGACAGCTATCAACAGAGTGTGGAGGTTAACTATAGTGTAACAGGAATAAATAGAACCAGAGGACTGAGCTCAAATTCCTCATGGTGCTGTTCATCTTCACTTAGAACGATTTATGCTGGCTTGCCCTTTTGAACGAAGATTTTGGATGATTTTCTGCGACTGTGACAGGTTTTCCTGAATAAAGTGGAAAAGTTCTCGGGTTTATGCCAGAGACATTTCAAGATGGAGGGCGGTGTGCGTATATTGGAGAAAGGTATGATGAATCCATAAATTCTGTCCTGTCTCTGTCTTTTTCAGAACGAGGTCAGTATTTTCTTACTTTCAAGAAAATAACATGTTTTTAAAGCAGGTTTTATTTTCATTTTGTTGCTTAATGAACAGCAAATGTTCTCTATACCGAAAGCTTTTGAGAAAACGAATTTTTCGACGAGTACTTTGATTACTGTCCACAGAAAATGTGATTATTTAGGAAATTTTGAGGAAAATATGCGCAACAAAGGAAACCGATACTTGCAATCAGAAAGAGACAGCAGAAATTCTTAAGATACATAGTGAGGAAAGAAAGCCAAGAAAATTCAACACACACATGACATATTAAAGGCAAGGAAACGAGGAAACAGCATATAACCTACTTCCCGAATCTGAGTGAATCGATGGCGGAACAAAGACAAAGATTGATCGACTGATTTGTTTTCTACGGCTTACTAACCCGTTGCATGTTATTTAAAGCCAGAGAATATTTTTAGATTGTAAGATTTTTTTTTAGATAATTATAGTTTAGTGATACACATCTTACTAATTGGCTGGGGGAGAAGAGGTGGACTCATACCTTTCCCAAGGGTATTTGAACGTAAGTAAGGAACCCAACTTTTCGAGCCATTATCCATTATGCCAACCTCACATGCAAACTTATAACGTCTGATATTCCCAAACGTTCATCCATCTAGGTACTAACCAGGCTCGACGTTGCTTAACTACGGTGATCGTACGGGGGTTCTATGTGATGTGGTCGTAGGTCCAAAGGGTGTTGGTAAAGGATCAAATGTTACTTGAAATAACAACAGAGAGAAAAATGACATGATCCTGAAGGACTATGACGCCTAAAAGAAGATTAATAAACTTCATCTCTGTCATCACACTGTTGTTGATAATGATGACAATGATGGCTGTGATGTTCAGATCTGACATTGTTTTAAAAACGGTATTCATCTGTCGCTACACGACAGCAAATTTAGCGCGAAGTTGTTTTAATATGCAGTCTCGCACGCATACATGTTCGGAGCAATAACACTTTTCTCGTACTGTCGGCACTTCCTTTTTGGGCGCCTAGGGTATATCTGTCCCTGGACCGCCAACTCTTAATGCAATGGGGGCGCTGTTGCCTGTGACACATCCACCTGTGGAATAGAGGCTTAATATCTCGTGGTTATGAATGACCAAGAAGGAAAAAAATATTCCATTTTGAAAGTATAAGAGTTAGTGAGGGATCACTTTACCTTAAATCAAGAAGCAGAAAAATTTAAAGAAGAAGCACTATTTGAATAAATTGACGTTCAGTCTAGTGCCGTCTCAACGTAATCTTTTTTCTATGTGCCTTTCCCTTTCAGGATGTTGGTGATCATGGCTCCCCACTATTTCCCTATTCATTTGGCTCTTTGTTTATTCGGATAAATGTACTAAACAAAACTTCTCAACTGTCTTTGTCGAAAAGACACGGTCAGGTTTTCTTATTCAAAATTCAGTTATGATATTTTTAATTAATTATCAATTCAAGATTTATGATCAAATTGTTGGATGGAATCTTCGAATTATAATTCCAATTGGTAGTAGAAATCCTTTCAACACGTTTAAATTAAAGGGGGGAAGGTCAAGAAATATTTCAATGAATAAAACTAAGCCACCGCAGGCATTTTTGAAATTCACTTTATGAAGATATACTGACGTCAAGTTATGTACCTTAAGGACGCATGAAGAAATATCCACATTGAATGGTTGAGCTAATTTATACAACATTGCAAATCGATCATTTCTAGTCAGTGATTTAATCTCACAGCGCATCATTTGTGAATTTGTTCCTTACAGAATGTCATGAATGTGACATTTTTCTACAACTGGGTTATTCCAAAAATATCTCTTCAGTTTTCAATATCTAGAATGTTTCTAATGTCGCGATATCATGAAAATTTTATTAAGAAACATTAAGTGTTCAACAATATGATTTTAGGAGTGGTATCTGTGGTCACCCAAGACTATTATACAAGTTGTTGAATTCATATTGATATAGTAAAAGGGGAGATAATTCAAGTTGTTGTATTCATAGTAAAAAGGGAGATAATACAAATCTGAATGTAGGGGTTGCTAAACATAAGACATGACTAAAATTACTTTAAAAATTTTAGATAACAAAATTAACCAAATAATTAAATGAATGTAAATTTCTTTTTAAATCCTAAAGATAATATTTAGGCAATATTTCCAAATTATTAACTACGGTTACTTAGTCTCTCACAATTCTAGAAGTTGCAGTTCTTAACTGTTCACTTCATATGTTTAGTCGAAGAAAAAGAAGTGTATCCCACAATTAATTATCCAGAATCGAAATCGAAGATTTTTGCAAGCTCCAAATTGGCATTCCTCATAAATATTATTTGTTACTTCAATGGTCAATATAATAAGGCTTCATATCTAATTAACACTATTTACATTATTCGGACTATTGTCCTCATCTTTGTCGCCATATTTATTACAACGTTCCGGCCGTTATACGCTCCGGCCTTCTTCAGGTGGTTGGATTGTCGAACTGAACCCTTTATTTCGCTCACTGGGGTAGACTGTTCTATTTCCACATGTCATGTTTAATGGATGTCAATTGTCAAAGATGAGGACAATAGTCCGAATAATGTAAATAGTGTACCTAATACCTCATCTCAGAAATATAGACAGATATCAAATTAATTCTCTCTTTACTCGTTGTTTGGTAACATCAATACTTACTTTCTCCTGGAAATATCCAATTTTATAAAACAAAAAATGAAGTAACTCCTTTTGACCGTAAAAGACATCAAAGAAAGTATCCCTATTGACAGTTTTATTGGCAGGTATGTTCGATTTTTGTGAATGTTTTTAATTTCCATCTGTTTCTGATCTTCATGTTTTCTTAAGATAGAAAAGTTCTAAGTACGTTTATTTGTGGCCTATTTTACGAACGCGTGGGTGTAAGTTTTAGGAAATTGTTATTCGGTCACCCGTATACGTTTTTCTCTTCCTTGTGTTGAAAAGGTGTTTCTCTTTTGACCAACCAACTGCCAATAATTTTCTTTTTGATATAACCAATTCAACATTTTGCCGAGTTAGTAAAACTTACCACAAAAGAAGTTTTGAAGAAAAAGAAAACAAAAATATGAAAAACTGGCTTTTGTTAGATTTGTAAAGTGAGTGATTTAGAAATCGATTTTCCCACTTCTAATTATAATATTAAAATTTGACTTGCGAAAATAACTTTAAAATCGAAAATAAAAACCTAAACTCAAATCTAGATATTCAAGTATGAAAATTTAAATATTAAGGAATTGTTTTTATAGAAGTCAGAAATGTAACACTGAAACCCGAACGCGCATTGGAATAACAAAGATGCCTTGCAAATGTTAAGTCAAGTATTAAGAAGCAGAAAAATTTAATTAGAAACAATGGATGTTGTAAGATTTCCTCACAGGTAAAGAAGAGAGACTTGAGGCAACGGAGATGTGGTTCTACGGACGGATCTTGCGATTGCCACAAACAGAGCGTTGAGTAACGAAGAAATTTTAAAGGAAAATCGAAACTAGAAGGAAGCTTAGACAGTTAACATTTCGAGAACATAATTTAGAAAGAAGGCTTGGAATATTTAGCACTCACAGGACATGTTGAAGTCAAGAACAGAGGGAAACATCGAGTAACCTAACAAGTTTGCTAAATGATAGGATGTCATGGAGAGGCATGAAGAGAAACGGTACATAGAAGAAGAAGCAGCAGAAGAAAAGAAAAGAAGAAGAAGGAAGAAGAAGAAGAGAAGAAGAAGAAGAAGAAAAGATGAAAAAGAAGAAAAGAAACGAAGAAAAAGAAAAAGAAGAAAAGAAGAAGAAGAAAAGAAGAAGAAGAAAAGAAAAAAGCAGAAGAAACGAAGAAAAGAAGAAATAAGAAGAAAAGAAGAAGAAGAAAAGAGAAGAAGAAGAAGAAGAAGAAAAGATGAAAAAGAAGAAAAGAAACGAAGAAAAAGAAAAAGAAGAATAAATAAGAAGAAAAGAAGAAGAAGAAAAGAAAAAAGCAGAAGAAACGAAGAAAAAGAAGAAATAAGAAGAAAAGAAGAAGAAGAAGCAGAAGAGAAGAAGAAGAAGAAGAAAAGATGAAAAAGAAGAAAAGAAACGAAGAAAAAGAAAAAGAAGAATAAATAAGAAGAAAAGAAGAAGAAGAAAAGAAAAAAGCAGAAGAAACGAAGAAAAAGAAGAAATAAGAAGAAAGGAAGAAGAAATGAATTAAAACGGTTGATGCTGGTGCATGTATCAAGAAAAAAATACCTGATCACTTATATGTTTGTCAATGTGTTTGCAAGGTAACACTTGATCAAACAATGGTAAATTAGTCATATAAACTCGTGTATAAGTTGACTCAAGTTGTTCCTAACATTCCAGCAAGAAATTATAATAAAGTATTCTTTTTACAACACTTGAAACATATTTCCCGGAATTTTCATGATACTTCTTTTTAGGATCTACCAAGTGATGGTCAATGACCTTTACTCCTGATCACTTTGTCTTTTGTCTTTTTATCGTGGATCATAAGTTTTCAGTTCTGATATTTATTCAAGACAATTATGTTAGAATATTAATGCAATATTATTCTTGCATCTCTTGTACATTCTTCATTAAAATTCAAGAGTTGTACCGTTCGTATTGTGCGAGTAACAATCCAGCTTCACGAAACTATTAATGAAAGAATAATTAACCTCATTAACCTCTTGAACATTCAAATTTCCTCTTAAAGAAACAACTGATAGAGAAGAATAAACGGTATATTTATCATGTATAACGAGTGGGTTTTTTCAGTAATTATAACTATATTGATTGATTTGTTTTTTTATGGCTTATCAACCTTTTCGAAAACCAGAAAATATTTTTAGATTATAAGAATTTTTAAAAGATAATAATGATTTACTGATACAGGTCCTACTATTTAACCCATAATTGATGGATGTGTGTCAGTGAAAATAACAAACTCGACTGAATTTGGAATTCGGATTTTCGATTTCCAATTCGAAGCCATTATCCGTTACACCACCTGCACATCCAAACTTACTGCACTTGGTATTCCTAAGGGATCACTCATCTAGGTACTCACTAAGCTCTACGTTGCTTAACTTCAGAGATCGTACAGGAACCGGTGTTTAAACATGACATTGTCGTAAATCAAATAACAGAAATAACATCTACGATAGAAACACAACAGAAATATAGATTTTATAAATACAAAATCAATACATACAGTTTAATTCAATTAATAGCTTGACATTTAAAATACTTTCATCAGACAACAGAAAGCAAAAAAAAAATCATTTTTTTTATCACTCGAAAATGAGTACATGTTTATTTTTGTGGTGTATATATAGTTTCATTTGTGTATGTATGCATAGTTAATCTACGGACGGGTACACACACACACATACACACCCACACTGAATTATTTTAATTGGCGTTTCGATTTAGTCATCTCCAACAATTGCAGGAGTCCCGACGTTTTTGGTTTTCCAGATCTAGCGAACCACTTATGGACAATACAGTCAGCCATGATATCATCACCCGGAAGCGGCATATATCTTTCTTTTTTTTTTTTTTTTTTTTAGTTTGGGACGTGAAAGGGCATCAAATAAGGAAAATGCATCTTATTTACATGCACTTTCACTTTTAACCTAAAGACATTTAAAAGTCACAATTCATGCACGAAATGGATAGAAATAGGATTTGAAAGATCGCACGTTTCAGATGGGTAGAGAGGTGTCAGATATTTCAGTCACGAGTGAGAAGAAACAGAGCATTTACTTAAATATTTATTTAACAGCAAACCACCCTCATTCTATCTGTATTCCATCGGCGAGAAGTAAGTTCCACTCAAACGGCTTCCCGCCAACCACTGTTCTGTGGAACAGACTCCCAAGAGGATGTTTCTCCGATCGCTACAATCTTGAACGAGACGCAATCATAACAGCGAGAGTCATTTGAGGAGAAGGAGGAGGAGGAGGAGGAGGAGGATGAGATAAGGGTTAATTCGGAACTTGAACAATTTAGATTTAACAGTTATTTCCTCTACCTATCCATCTAAACGCAACCTCCTACTTCGAGTGGCCTCGGGTCTTGTATAGGACGAACCGTACTGTAAAGAAAATCGAAAATTCACTGGTGACTTCTTTGGCTAGTACATCTATTGAACATTTTAACGTAGTTCACGGGTGTACGTTTCCACTAAAATTAAATGTTGGCACTTCAACTATAAACTTTATAACAGCCTCTGATTTTCTGTCGATACTCCACCTACGATTCATTTGCGTCTCCTTCATAAGTCTTTTTTTACCGAATAGATAACTTGCCAATTAAAAGGGGGTATAGTGAACCCACAAGCATCCCCGTTCAATCCCCGTTACCCTCTCCTCCCAACTGGTCTTTTACTAGCTCGTGAGCGAGCTATATATGCATATCCTGTACTGAGGCATCCGTAACTCCCAGCTTGGCTTTCCAGAATAATTTCTGTGGATACTAAATACCAAATATCAAATTTTCCAGGTATTCTTTCCTCATTTTTTTCCCTATGAATTTAAACCGTTTCATATCCGTTAGAATAGATTTTCTGGCCACTCATTGATCCAGAAGTTTAACCGAGGCTCTAAATAAAGGTGTAAGCAATCAGGAAAAGATTAAATAAAGGTGTAAGCAATCAGAAAAAGATTAAATAAAGGTGTAAGCAATCAGAAAAAGATTAAATAAAGGTGTAAGCAATAAGAAAAAGATTAAATAAAGGTGTAAGCAATCAGGAAAAGATTAAATAAAGGTGTAAGCAATCAGGAAAAGATTAAATAAAGGTGTAAGCAATCAGGAAAAGATTAAATAAAGGTGTAAGCAATCAGAAAAAGATTAAATAAAGGTGTAAGCAATAAGAAAAAGATTAAATAAAGGTGTAAGCAATCAGGGAAAGATTAAATAAAGGTGTAAGCAATCAGGAAAAGATTAAATAAAGGTGTAAGCAATCAGGAAAAGATTAAATAAAGTTGTAAGCAATCAGGAAAAGATTAAATAAAGGTGTAAGCAATCAGAAAAAGATTAAATAAAGGTGTAAGCAATCAGGAAAAGATTAAATAAAGGTGTAAGCAATCAGAAAAAGATTAAATAAAGGTGTAAGCAATCAGGGAAAGATTAAATAAAGGTGTAAGCAATCAGGAAAAGATTAAATAAAGGTGTAAGCAATCAGGAAAAGATTAAATAAAGGTGTAAGCAATCAGAAAAAGATTAAATAAAGGTGTAAGCAATCAGGAAAAGATTAAATAAAGGTGTAAGCAATCAGGAAAAGATTAAATAAAGGTGTAAGCAATCAGGAAAAGATTAAATAAAGGTGTAAGCAATCAGGAAAAGATTAAATAAAGGTGTAAGCAATCAGAAAAAAAGATTAAATAAAGGTGTAAGCAATCAGAAAAAGATTAAATAAAGGTGTAAGCAATCAGGAAAAGATTAAATAAAGGTGTAAGCAATCAGGAAAAGATTAAATAAAGGTGTAAGCAATCAGAAAAAGATTAAATAAAGGTGTAAGCAATCAGAAAAAGATTAAATAAAGGTGTAAGCAATCAGGAAAAGATTAAATAAAGGTGTAAGCAATCAGAAAAAGATTAAATAAAGGTGTAAGCAATCAGGAAAAGATTAAATAAAGGTGTAAGCAATCAGGAAAAGATTAAAAAAACAAAACAAACAAAAAAAAAAAAACAGAAAGATGGAAATGGAGAAATATCTATATAAATTAAAACAGAATATATTATTTTTAAATTTTGTGTACGCAGAAATAGACAACGTATTTATAGTGAAGGTAACCATAGTTGTTTCCCCCTTAAACTACTCGACTATAAAAGAAATGGTTGAACCTCACTTATGGACAGTAGTCAAATTACATTGAATAAATCTTCTCTACAAGCTAAAACGCACCATTGTTTTTCTTTATAGTATTCCCATTTAAGATGAAGAATTAAAAGCTTTTTTTTATCTTGTTTATCAAATCGATAAGACTTAATCCTGACAGAAATTATGAAATGACGAATTAAGCAGAATAAAAAAAAATGGGAATTTAATAAACTGAATGAGGCAAATAACTTCTTAAAAAGATACTCATTATACATCGCCTGGAAATATTAGACAAATGTCAAGTTATAAAACTGATTGCAGCTGTTTCTAGTCGACCTGTTTTGTTGCAATTTATTTGAAGAGGAAATAGATTTAAACAAACAAATGTTAAGGAAATCAATGAAAATGAAATCAACAACGAAAATGACCTTATTTCATTCTGCTATGTTTTGAATTCTGATTTGAAGCGACCATTAAATTTACCAACCTTCTTCCGCTGAAATTTACGCACTTTTACTAGCTTTAAATTATGCATTCCCCAAGAATAAAAAACAGTAGAATTCCTCATCAAGAATTTATCTATCCTTATAAATGACTTCCTAAATGGTTACCTTCAACTGAATGAACTGGGATGATTATTTTTATGCGAAAACAATCCGCCTGGGGGCGTACTTATTCCAATAATTCATTTTTATTACAAATTCAGAAAATTTCATCCCACTCCTTATTTTAGGCTGCAACGATTATTCTAAGATATAGCATTTCGCAATGAAAATTATAATATATATATATATATATATATATATATATATATATATATATATATATATATATATATATATATATATATATATATATATATATATATATATATATATATATATATATATATATATATATATATATATATATATATATATATATATATATATATATATATATATATTGAAATGGCATGTTGTACTGCTTGGTAATCGCACCGGAAGTTCCAATGTGAACATTTCAAAGTGTTTGGATGTCAACTGAGGACAGTTCAGAGGATTCGGAAAAAGTATGTCTAATGGTGATTACGGAAGTACAGCAACTCGAAAAACTTACTTTGATAGTTCTGATAAGAAAAGGACACCCGAATTTGTTGGTAAAGCCTACATCAAGTACTCTGATGATGTAGTGCTATTCTGAGTCAAGAGAATGGCTGATGGAAGTCCCTATGTCTGGTAACAGGACTCTGCACCATGCCACAGAATCCAGTCAGGGCTGTCAGGCAATTTTTGCGACCGCATCACCCCTTGCATCTGGCCACCTAACTCCCCAGACTGCAACCCCCTTGATCATGATGTGTGGGGCGCAGTTGTGCGGGAGACCAACAAAACTCGTCGTAACACTAAAGATGAACTGAAGGCAAAGATTATGGCAGCATTCACCAATTTAACCAAGACCTCCCAGAAGAGATGTGGGAGATTCTAAAGTCGTCTGGAGGCCGTGGTTGAAGACAATGGCGATTTTATTGAATGAATTTACTCTTTAGTATTTCAAGATATTTTTCAGTAATTTTGGTAAATATATCCGTTAAAATGAGATGTTATTTTTATTTTTGCATAATTTAGACAACAAATTATCTCTGTATATAAAAGTGGACACTGAGGTCAAGACCAAACGGCGACTGTTTCTTGATTGAACGTAATCTTCAGGTTATATGTGTTGTGTTTCGTGACTATGACGAGCCTTTAAGTGAGAGGATATTGGCTGTGGTCTAACCAGGAGAGAGATAGGCTCCGTCAGGTCTATTTTACTCAAGACACGTTACGTATTAATGATTACATAAATTGACATGGGGAGAGATGTGCTCAGGTGCCAGAAAGCTATGCAGTGTCTCGGAGGAGAGCCGTGATGTACTATAATAGATTGTCTTAATCTCAGACAGATGCTGCCTTGGTCTGGATGTTTGAAGAAAAATCAACGAATTTAATGTTATTTTATTTAAACAAGGTTCCTTATTTTACTGAAGAAATAACAGGATAACAACTAACACAATCAATGAAAAATGCAAATTCCTTACTGAAAATTAAATACAGTTAAAAATGGCAAATTATGTAATGAGACGCTTGTTTCTATATTGTTCCATAAATTCTCCACATCACCAGAAATATTTGTCGATGACAAGGAGCAAAACATCATCCAGGTGGTCATCAATCTACCTTGTTCTTAAACTACTTTTAATAGAATTCAATTACAAAAAAAGTTGTTTACAAGCATATGTACTTCTAAATAATGTTACCATCATTTTCACATTATTCAATAGGCTTTT